TGGCCTCACGTCTTAAGCCCAGCGTTGTCCAGCACCAGCTCCTCGAGGCTCCCTGACTTGCTCAGGGTGTGTAGCACCTGTTCTAGCACTTCAGAGCCCTGAGAACAGAGGGGGTCATGTGTTCAGAGCCAGAGAGGGCACAATTCTCCCCTCCCCCCACCCCTCTAGACCCTACCAGCCGCAGGTCCTTGCAGTAGAGTTTGGTGAACCATTGGTTATAGGCCAGGGCTGCCACCATTAGGGCCAAGTCTCTGGGGGGTGGGGAGAAGAAGAGGGCAGGAAAGCAGTGAGCAGGTGGCTGGGGCAGGAAAGAAGAAACAAGGGATGGGGTGGTTGGGCTGGGGAGAGCCTGAATAGGTAGAAGGCAGTGGGGGGTGGGGAGTGAGAGACAGAGCTGGGGCTGTGGATGGGACCAGAAGGGAGAGGCTAGAAGGGCCAGGGTTGGACTGATACTGGGCTGGGGGGTCGAGTCTCTACCCCATCTGCTTACCGGCTCTCCAAGTGGCTGAAATCCAAAAGATTGAACTCCCGGTTATCCTCAGCATGATAGATGGTGTCCACATCCTTGGAGAGATGGAACTGGCTCACACCTGCTCCCGTCTGCCTCCTCTGCCCACTCCCTCCAGGTCCCACCTGCCCTCAGGCTAGGTCCCTGACCAACGCACCCATTGCACCTCCTCACGACAGTGCAGCCCATTGTAGTCACACAGGGCAGCGTAGGTCTCGGAGAAGCCACCTGTGGGGCAGGAGATGGGCTGACTCCTTGAGAGGGAAGGGCATGGGGAACAGGCTTGGAGTTCAAGGACAGGTCAAGGTCATTTTATGTGCCAGGGTCCTGGGTTCCTGCTACATCATGAACCTCTGAGGTGTGGGAACTGTGGAGTCTCAGGGCAGGCAAAGCCTCCTACAGAGAGGACTCTGAGCAAGGGGCAGGGTGGTGTAGGCCCCACGTTCCTCAAGTCTGCCCCTACTCACCGCAGACACTGTGAGTGGTGGATGTGGAAGTCTCAGAGTTGGGGGACGTGTCTCGAGGCCCTTCTGGGGTGTCTGCATTTCCACGTCGGATTAGACTCCTGGAAAGCAAACAAATCCATCCCAAGAGGGGTGGAATGACGCTCTCAATTCTTCCCCTGTTATAGCTTCTGGATTCCCAGGAAAGGCAGGAGTGGGGACATGAGAGCTCTTCTCCTTGGTGTCCTGGGGGCCCAGGTCCAGGGGAAGGAGAGAGGGAAGGAAGGGAGGTCTCCTTGTTGCCTAACCCTTTGAGAGACTCCTCCTTTGCCACTCACCCAGGGCCAGGGCAGACCTTGGAGAGGGCAGAGCTCACGTGTCGTGTCACCTGGTCCACGCTCTCAGCCGACGGCAGCCGCATGCTCACCATGCCGCGCTCCGTCTCCACTAGGATCTGGGGGTGGGGGAGCAGCAGGGCCTCAGATGCCAACTCCCTCCTGCTGCTGGCCCAGCAGTGGGGCCCAAGCCCTGGTGCTCACCTGGTTCTGACTGAGTGTGTTGAAGGCGCGGATCTCCAGGACATTGAAGGAGCTCTCCACCTGGGGGGAGGGGGCATGGGGATGCCCAGCTCATGGTCAGGGCCTGGCTTCCAGGCTAGGGGGGAGCATGCCAGGTGCTCTCCCGCTCATCAAACCAACTCACCTTGGCTGGGACCTTCAAGGGAAAGAGGTGGAGGCGCCAGGAGGTCAGGGCCTTCAGAGAGAGGGAAAGAGTGTCAGCAGCAAATGGCAGCTTCCTGGGCCCTCATCACCCTACCCTCCGTTAGCCCCTTCAGCCTGTGAGCACCCCCTGCCAGCTGGCCTTCTGCTGTAGAAGTCCCCCCTCTCATGCCCTGCCCGGGGCTCCTGATCATCCACTCAGTCCAGACTTACCCTCCCTCAGGCTGTGTTTCCTCAGCTGTCCCCCACCTCTGCCTCCCCCACCCCCCAGGCTCCTTGCCCTCATCAGCTCAGGTGTCCTCGATCCCCTCTCCCTTCCCCAAGCCCAGTGCCCTCACCAGCACTCTGTCCTCGAACTTCTTGGGCTTCGTCTCCAGTTTCACGCGATGCTGTTGCAGCACTGCCCCTTGGCTCAGGCACCTCCGGATGCTGTCTGCAGGTGGGCAGTGGGCTGCTCAGAGCTCCCCTTACCCTGGCCACCCCCCCCCCACCTACCCAAGGGTCTCCAGGGGCAGGTCAGAGGGGAGGAGAGAGAATCAGAGAGAGAGACACAGAAGGACAGGGACCGAGACTTTTCCTTCTTGGGTGACTTGTCTCTTCCTATTAGAGCAGCAGAGGGGTGTGGAGAAAACTCCAGCTCCTGATGTCCCTAAATCAGGGGACAGTAGCTGAGTGACACTGTGGGAGAGTGTGAAAGATTTTCCCAACCTGTGCACTCCAGCAGCCATCAACACATACACAGTGAGTCAGTGTGTGGGGGTGTCTCTTTGACTATGTTCTATGTGGTCCGGGTGTGAGTGTCTGCCTTCTACTACGCATGAAAAGAAGATGCCAGGGAGCCCGTGTGTGGCATTGGTGGGGATGGGTAAGTGTGAATGAGTATGCTGTGCTTGCAGTTGTGAAAGGGGCACAGAGCCAGACAGTCCTGGTGTGGGTGGGGGTAGGGGGGGTAGTAAGGAGTTAGTGTTTAAAGGAGTCCCAAACCCATCTGCTGGCAGAACCATCCAGATATCCTTGTGTGTGTGCACACAATTTCTGTAAAGATGTGTACACCTATCTCGTGATTGTGCTTGTGTGTGTGTGTGTGGTGTGGGAAATCGCGACGGTGCAGCATGCCTCTGAGTATCCTTGAGCGTCCTGGTCTCTGCGTGGGCTAGCCTGTGCTCCCGCCTCTGGGGGTCAGGGTTGTGGCAGTACTGGGGAGTTGAGCCTTGGTTTGGACTGAGTCTGAGAACCACGCAAACAGGAGAGCCCTTGAGGTGTGGGTGTGGGGTAGGGAGAAGAGGGCAGGCTAGGACAGGACTGTGCTAGGTAAGCTACAGAGACCCTGCTCTTGCTTTTAGCTCCAATCCAGGCCGTCTTCCCTGACTCCCTTCTTTGCCCCACTGGCCTGGGCACAGCCTGGCTGCTAGAAGGGCTCCGGACGCCGGAGCCAGTTCCGGGGCGGGGCCCGGAGGAGGGAGGGTGTTGAGCCCAGAGGCGTCAGGACCTGGGGCAGCTCCCATCACCCGGCGGGGCGGGCCTGGCCCCGCCCGGCAGGGAAACGGGGACTCTCCGGAGGGGACACTGGATGCTTCGCCGATGGGTGGGCCAGGATCGCTGAGAGTCAGCCCCGGGGAGCATAAGGGGACTGCACCTGCCACTGAAGATCGGGACAGGAGGCTCTGGGACAGGTACGTCCTAACGGGGTGAGGCTAGCGGGGCAACGGAGGATGCTCTGGGGACAGCGATGCCCTGAGCTGGGATGCAGGGGCAGGGGGCTGCCTTGGAACCGGGATGCATGAGGGGCGGGAGGCACCGGGACTAGGGTGTACCGCGCGGAGGAACGCACTGGGTCTGGGAG